ATGATGTAAATTTTTACATATTACTATAAAAGTGTCAATTTTACGTTAAAACTGGCTCAAATTTTTCACGGAATTTCAGAATATATTTACTATATTTGTCACACTTTGTTGAAAGAATTCATAAGAAATAATTTAATAGATATTTCAGAACACGCATACCACATTTCACTGCAAAAAACAGCTTTGTTTGCAACCAGTATGGAAAAATAGGAATCTAAAATTAACAGTACTATTATAATTCAAAATGGAAACACTGATCATTTTCGTCTAAAAAACCTTCCGCCACAAAATATAGTTCCTAGCTTAATTCTAATTGAATCGTATTTAATCGCAGTTTTTTCATTGAATATAGTTTAATATGCACTGTAGAACCCAGATTTAATGTTAGAACTTAAAAATGATTTAGAATTTTATAAATAAAGGACCTGTCCAAAATAAGCTCAAAATATCAGGATCGAACGTCCTTAAACTCAGAATCCCATGGGAGAATGGTGGGAATTTCAGTCCCACCAACTATCCCACCATTCTTCCATGGGAAGGGATATCATGAATATCAGATAGGATATTTTTTTCCATGGGATTTTTTCTCCCATGAATTTGTTCAAATGGGATAAATCCCACGAATATTGACAATGAATCATTTTCTCCCATGGGGGAATGGTGGGATAATTGGTGGGACTGAAAATCCCACCTTTCTCCTATGGGATTCTTAATCTTAGGACTTCATATCTTTAGAAATGGAGATGTTTGTAAGTTCAACATGAGACCCTGGGATACTGCTAAAAATCCCACCAAGTGATATAAAAATATTTTTATAACTCAACTAGAAATGGTAGTAAAACGTCTAGATCTGGACAATGTCGTGCCCAGAGTTAAATGTCGTACTGTTGTATGATTTTGAAGAATCCCCCCCCCCCCTTTAGAAAGGAAGTTATATGAGTATAGGTAGGATTACCATTTGTAGAGTTTTAAAAATACAAGTTCTCTATTTAAAATGCATATAATGAGCCTGATAGACAAAGACAATGTTAGCTGTTTTGTTAGCAGGGACCAGTACGTACACTGAGCATGCATTCCTTTTAAATCTTTTCTTCACTTCTTAATCATCTAATATATAGAATTAAGGATAGATGGTTTTAAATGTATTCACTCCCCAAATAGCTTAATGCACAATTTTAACATACATCGGAAACATTGAATCCATTCTGACAAAGTGTAATATTGTCCTTAAATCGCTTATTACGCGATTTTTGCATAAATCTTATATATTTCATCCATTCTGACAAAGTGTCGAGGTATTCTTTTTCATATCTGATCCATCATCTGGCGTAATCTACTACAGAATTCAAATATTTACGACGGCAGTTAAAGGATAGGGGTTCCCTATATATTTAGGATGATGAAGAATATGGAAATAACGAAGAGTATTCAATCTCAAAGTCCATTCAACAATGTACAAAATCAGAGCAGAGCAAAGACGGACCTCAAAATCATCAGAGATGGGATCAGGTGCCAAAGAGGAGTGAGCTGGACAGTTTACACAATTTATCATCAAGTAAGATGCTGACTGACGTGTTTCATATACTTATAAATATATTTATTGCTCTGAATTTGTAAATACTCGACCATTAGTACTACCGAAGATAATTAAAATGTGCACTTGCATTTTATTTTTTACCATGAAATATAATTATGCAGGTAACGAACATTATTCAAGCTCAAAGTCTATTAAACAACATAAAATATGAACAGAGCAAACACTGACCTTTGTCATCAGAGATGGGATCATGTGTCATGAGGAGTGAACGTCCCCTTTCGACCAGTCACACATGCCCTGTGTTTCTTGTAATGACGGAAATAACGGGGAAATCTGTTAAAAATTCAAGGTGCAAATAATGGTCTTACAACGCTGTTTTTTTTCAGGGAAGGGGGATTCCACCTCCAGTTAAAAAATTCAACTCAGAAACTTCTTGAAAAAAAAAAAGAAAGAAAAAGAAAGAAAAACTTCCAAACGTATTTCTTGGAGTGGGAGTATTCGTTGACTTTTACAGCTTCATACCATCATACCATGACTTTTCACAGGAACTTAACACAAGTCCGAGCTTTCGAGAAGCGGTGGGTGAGGGGGGTGTCTATTGTCACGTTTACTTGGTTAAGTAAAGGCAGTTATTCAATAAATCTGCAAATTACAGTGGTGGGGGTTCTCTAGTTGCGCTTTGCGCGTGTATGCATTATCCTACTGTTGTTAAACACTTGAACAATCTTTACCTCCATTGGCAAAACAACCCCATGCGTTAAATTATCAGTCATTTCAATCGCATTGATCAGATTGAAGATCGAGTTTTTAATCAACGTCGTATTGATTTTAACAATGGATATATTTCTTTCTTCATTTTAATGAACAGACTGTGGATAACATTTTCACTCTAAATACTAATTCTTTAGTTCGGTTAAACCTACTGCGCTGTAACTTTTATATATTTATGAGCACGTACGTGCCAGCACGTATAAAACACCCGAAAACATTGTATTTATACATTGCTTGCATATTTTGCCAAAAGCTGACCTTATAAAAATTCACATAGATTTTATTTATGCAAAATACATAAGACGGAAGTTAAAATTCTGACACAAATAGGGAACCGGTACGGGGCAGTACACCCTGGAATTCAGATATTAATGTAAGTTTTATAATTAAATCAGTGTATCAAATAATGTAGTTTATTTTCCGGAATTTTTCCTCTGTGATTTAAAAGGGGGCAATGAAGTTACAAATAATACATGTAGTCACTGGTTGAAAAAAAAATCAAAAAGTGGAAATTTAACAAAAGTAAAGTACATTTTTCTTTGATATGTCAATAATAAAAAAAACGATACATACATGTTTAGGTGAAACTGAAAAACTGAGAGAAAAAAATGAAACACTATGCAAAACGTGCAAAATTTAAAATATTTATGTAACTATTTTGTATATATTTGTAAAACAGACCAAAGTGGAAATAGAAAAATGGAATAAGGACCCCGCAAATACATTAGAATTTGAACTGCATAAAGTTTGTAAATTTAACAATTTTTAAATGCCCTAAGCTTACATATGGCGATAAGATCATGCATAGATTTTCAGAGGTAACAATAATAATAATGTGATGTTTCGTTTTCATACTAGCATAAACAGCTATCTTGGTGTAATTCTCATCGTAATCGTTTGCAATATGGATTTTTAAATGGTACTTTTTGTAGCTAGCATTGATTTTCATTCTAGACGTCCAAATATCAGCGGGAGAAGTAGTAAAATGTGTTACTGTATTTCCTCAGTTCTTTACTACTACATATATATACCTTGGAAAAACAAAAGAAGTTTAAAGCTTGACTTTTTGACAGCTTCATGCACAAAATGTAGTTCAAACTGATGAGTTTGAGCTTTTTGAAAACAATACATTAATTTTCAGTGAAGGATCAATTGAAGAAAAAAAATTATTGCAATTTAAAGAAATTAATATTTTTTTTTTCAAAGTAATTGGAAGTAATTTGTTTTGGATTTTTTTTTATTAAATTAAATACACGAAAATTCATTATTTATTTGATTAAATACACTAAAATTCATTTACATGTACTTTTAAATTACAATTTAATTGTTTTATATAAAACATATTATGTATGGGAAAATTAGGAAAATATTACATTATGGTCAGATTTTAGTTCCCTTGATTTATTTGAAGCAATCCTTCTGTGTTTTTTTTAAAGATTTAATATGTTTACCTGTACATCTTCATGCATATGCATGCACATGACATTGTATAATTGATACAAATTAATGGTAATAAAAAATAATTCTACCCTTGTATTCTAGGAGCCAAACCATATTTCAATATTTTGCTGCTTAATTATCATTTTATATCCAGGTATACATGTTATATTACTGCTTTATTTTGGCATTCCTATCTAGTTGCCCTTTAAACCACAACATGTAGATTTCTATAAAACAAACGTTGAAAATCACATACTAGTATCGTACTTTCTTAAACTTCAAATATATATGACCATCAGAGGTGGTTTATTGAATGCAACAAAAAATTTATATATTTGAGAAAAATCTATATTAATTTGTTTTTCTAACATTTCCATTATGAATATATCTTGACAAAAATGTATTTGTTCTTCATGAAAAATGAGGTTACTGAAATGTTGAAGTAATCATCTTGCATTTGTGTTTATCATAAATAAACTTCTTCTTGAATTAGCAGACACAAAGCATCGTCGATGATACTGAAAAAAAATTCACCACCAAATAAATTATTTTTTCTATGTTTTTATCATCCTATATGTATGATGAAAGAAATTGCTCTTGTGCAACATGCATCATTTATATTACAGTGCAAAATAACATTTTCATTCAATAATAAAATATATATAAAAGTTATGACAACGATCTTAATAAATTGAATTTTCCACTTTTATTTCAATCAAAGGTTACCATGATGACGAGGCTTTATCTCGAAACACTAGTGGCGACACTCTTTCTGGCCACGGGAATGACTAAATTACAATGTTCCTCAGAGCCTTCTTGTCAGTGTCTGATGGACAACGATAGACTGTACGCAGACTGCTCTCACCTAAATCTAACCGAATCACCAGTGTTTTCAGCAAATGTCAAAATCATCAACCTCAGTCACAATAGTCTAACGTGTTTACCGTTAAGAGAACGCATTCCAGATGGACTGGTCCATTTAGATCTTTCATATAATCGTATACATACTCTCTCAGGGAATTCTTTTCAGGGACTGAGAAACCTAACTACACTTTTATTACAATATAATAAATTACGAATACAGAACCGAAGTCATTCTGAAGGAATATTCAAAGATTTAATGAACATTAAAATCATCGATTTATCATACAACTCAAATTTGACATTTAAAGTTCTTAGAAGTCTTTCTTTTGATTTGCAAAAAACGTCAATTAGAACACTTCGTCTTAACAAAATTCACTGTGCATTCGGAATGGGGACCAAAATTCTTGTAGAAGACTTTAAGTTTCTTCAATACACAGAATTGAAGCAATTGCATTTAGACAGTAACAGGATAGAAATGATTGAGCATACTGCAATCCGCTATTTACCAAAGACCATCAAGTTTGTTTCTGTATCCGACAACAAATTTACCTTTGGAAAATACGTTGAGGATGTTTTCTATTTGGAAAATATGCAGAAAATCAACATTAGTGCTGAGCATTCAAGTCATCCTGTACATGAAATGGATACCTGTAACGAAAGTTCGAATGACCCGGTGCCATATTGTGCCTCAACAAACAACCCAAATTTGGAAATAACCCTAGGTAATCTCCATGTTAATTCCAAAGATCATAACATGATTACCAAATTCAAAGGTAGAAGAAGTAGCGAAATTTTAAATTCATCATCAAGTCATGTCATGCCACGTAAAATTGAAGACCAAAGTAAATATTACAAGGAGGACCCTTTTATTTTTCATATCGTGGATCGTAATAAAGGCTTCTTTTTTCCTGTACCAAAAGCACTACAAGTGATTTACGGCAATAGTAGTAATCTACGATTCCCAATATCTGAATTATATTTCTCGAACAACAATATAACCCATTTTTATCTCCAAGACAATTCGTTTTATTCCTGGGATGGTCCAGTTCATAATCTGAATTCCATAAAAGTTCTCAATCTTTCAAATAATTTCTGTTCTTATGTCTCAGAAAATTTTTTCCAATATGCAGAGAGTTTGACAGAATTATATCTTGGAAATAATATCCTTGGATTTAGCTTAGCATCAGACATGAAAGGTTTGATATTTAGAAATCTGAGGAAACTGGAAATATTGGATTTGAAAGAAAACCGAATTTCGACACTACCAAAGACTGTGTTTCAAAATCTAGTGAATTTGAAGTACTTAGATCTAAGCAAAAATTTTCTGAAAGCATGGGAGATTAACACCAGTCACATAAAAATTGTTTATTCCATAGATCTGTCGAACAATGAAATAACGTGTCTTTCCGACGGAGATATGAAAGCCTTTGACAGACTAGGATCGACAAAAAATTTAACAATGAACTTTCTGAAAAATTCTTTCATGTGTACGTGTAGAACAATCAACTTTATGAAATGGATGGAAAAAAGAAATAAAACCATGAAAATAAATTTCTTGCAATTTGACAATTACAATTGCACTGAAGATGCAGAACACGAGAGTAAAGTCTTAAAATTTGATAAAATTAAATCACATATTTTAAATCTACAAAGAGAATGCCGTTCGTATACCGCAATTATTTTTGTAACCACGGGGACACTGGTTTGCTTCCTCTTCATACTTTGTACTGGACTAACCTACAGATATAGGTGGAAACTTCGGTATTTTTATTATATGACAAAAAGCCGCTACCATCAGTACAAATCATTGCGGGGTGAAAATCTTCCCCTTAACCAGTATGACGCATTTGTTTCCTATGCTGATGAGGATAGATCCTTTGTCCTGAGAATGATAAAAGAATTAGAAGAGGAGGAAGGCATAAAATTATGTATTCACCAGCGCGATTTTGTACCAGGATTCGACATCGCTGAGAACATTATAACCGCCGTTAACAAAAGTAGAAAAACGATTATTCTCCTCTCTCCCAATTTCATCAAGTCCAGCTGGTGTATGTACGAGTTACATATCGCCAAAATGGAAGAAATTTACAGCAGGAATGATGAAAATGTGATTTTCCTCATCCTTTATGAAACTTTGCCTTTGAAGGATATTCCTCTAACTTTAATGGATCTGATTAACCAGAAGACATATATAGAGTTTCCAAATGGTGATCATGATCAGGAGTTTAGTGATGATGTATTTTGGAGTACTCTAAAGGGTTCTTTCCAATGATTTTGCGTAGATGAAATCTTCTTCAACAGCCACAAGTCTTAAATTTTTGAAAACATAACCTTTAAAATAAATTAAACCCCCATTAATTTGCTTGTTTAGGGATATATATTCTGTCAAAGAAACACATTGCTTAGAAACAAATGAACTCGGACAAATTTCAATGAAATTAAAGTTACAATTTAAAAAAAAATTTCACAGAGTTAACAAACCCCTAATTAATCTTACTTTTTATTTGCAAGGATATAATTCTTGTAGCTTTTTAAAATGTTATCCGTACAAATGACACACACAAAATTACGTCCCCTGATCTGCTAAAAATATAATTTGTGAATTTCATCGAAGTAATTTAATTATAAATTCTATCTTTCCTGTTCTGATATTTGCCATGATATTTTTTCAAAGTTTCTAAATAGAACCTCATCTCCCAGTACTGTAAAATTTTACATGTTTTCAGGATAACACGAGAAACTGTTACTCTAATATGTTAATATCACTATTGAGGAAAACGAAGCTGATCTCATAAAATCCCCCCCCCCCCCCAAACATGCAATATGTTTTGTCATTCTGAATGTGAAATGTAAAGATAAAAGGGTAAGTGATTAATCTGATAAATTCAGTAATTAAGGAAGCGATTATGTATTAATGTGATAAATTCATAGTAATTAAGGAAGCAATTAGTTATTAATCTGAGAAATTCAGTAATTAAGGGGTTAAAAATTGACAATAACATATCTTTTTTTCTTAGATATATCTTCAGCTTTCAACTATCATTTGGCAAAAACAAATTCATACTTTTTAGTTTTAAAGTTTGATAATTTTTGTATATCTTTAAATAGAGCTCTTCTTCAAAAGGAGATCAAATTAGTTTATTAATAACCACAACAAATTTAGGCCTCGTTATCTGATAAATTCAGTTTTAAAACTATTCAAAAACAGAACATAAACCCGGCCCTCTGGAAACAATAGGTGTAAATGTTGATTGATAAAACATCGCTGATTTATGTCGAGATGAAGGCCTCAACAAGCCTTCCTTCTTTTCATTTAGAAGTTTTTAGAATAATTTCTGCTTCATAAGAAAATAAAAAGTTGTCGGCTAATAGGGGGCACAATAATTTCCCATTATATCTCCAGCTGATGGTAGGAATTCCTGGTCTCGAAAGACTGCAAAATATTTTTAAAAAGGAAACCCAGCATACAGTGTACTTGTATGTTAGGTAAAATCATTATGAAGTTATCTAAGTAATTGTTTAGAAATACAAAGAACAAGATATGAACACTTAGGAGTTTCTGTTTTTTGTTGCATTTTTTGCATATCCGATATTTTTGAGACCCTCTGATAGCAAAATTCGACCTGGTTTGTGACCATATATTCTTTTATGAATCAAAATGAACAAACAGGCAGGATTTGGCACAATAAAGGGTGTGTATTTTCCGTTTGTATTCTATCATTTTTCATTTGTTTCGTATTATTTTTCATTTAATTTGTATAATTTTTCAATTTTATCCATATTTTCCATTCGTATTCTACAATTTCTTATTTGTATTGTAAACTCTCTTATTTGTATTCCATAATTTTTTTATTTGTATGGTATCAGAGGGATAATTTTTATTATATTTTGTCCGTTTATTTTTAAAATTGTTTTGTACAAATGGATAAGATCGAATATTGCAACGTTTGACATGCCATAAAAATTATACAATAAATCAAATGTCTGTAAATGTTGGCTTGAAAATTGTTTATTTGCATTTAAATGTGATTGAAGTGCCTTTAAAATTGTCTTTCGGAAAACGAGTAAAAAAAAAAAAAACTTTTCAAGCATTAAGTTTTCCTGAATTTTTTTTAGTAATGTCTCCTTAATTAGCATATGGAATTATTCTTACGTCAGAAAAAACCTTGTTCTGCTAATGATGGAAAAGGCCAGCCAGATTTTACAAATATTTTAAACATAACATATGAGGGCAATTAGGCACAATTTTCTCCTTTCACATATCTCCTTTCTCCTTTAGGTAGATTTCAATAAAACACAGTGACCAGCCAAAGAGGAAAAATGTAACTCCCTGCGCTCACATATATCAAGGGTATCAAAGGGTGGGGCGGGGCAAGAATTCAATGGGTAGTGGATGTAAGCATGGTACCCCTATCTAAATGAAAGATCTATATCTTTTTTGTCAATTTACTGGGGACATTTGTAACACCATGCTTATATTAAAGAATAGCTAAAAATCCGTCTAATTTGTCTTGTACAAATAAGACTGCGTTATTTTATCTGTAAGATAGACGTCTCCTAGATGACTTTCTTTTATTGATTTATTCCTTTTTCAGATATAGTTTTTTTTTTAGAATGGTGACCCTCTCGGGGAATTATTTCTTTTATAAATATTTCTTAATACTTGTCTTAGCCTTTCACCAGATACAGATCTACACTGTAATAAATTAAGAAACTTACAACACTGCGTATTTTAAATTTGAAAGGAATCAAATTTTCAACATATAAAATGTTGTCTTGAAAAAAAATAACTTGAATATACATGTATAGACCTTAATAGTATTCATGAAGTGTTTTAACTGGAATTGGTTTTGCTGTGGTATACAAACATCTAAGATTTTTATAGTATCTTGATCAATCTACTCATTATATTCAGTATCCGTCGAAAACACACTGACAGCTATAGATAAGCATTGAAATTAAGAAACTCTCCCCGGGGACATTAAAAATTCCTTTTGTTTCATAAATTCCTCGCGAGGAGACGTTGCTAATGCAATTGCATAATAAAATTATTCAATATTTAAAATGTTTATTATAATGTTTAAAGTATTAAAAAAAAATAATAAAAATTGTGATTTTTACATATCGCTTAATATTAATCTAAATCTATAATTCTCTTTCTCTCTCCCTCTTTGGATTCATTCTTAATATGACTGTACCAATTGACAATGCACTGTATATCTTCACACCTTTCATTCAATGTTTAAATGTTAATTTAATTGTACCTTGAGCTATGGAGAGAATGATCATGGGCATTTATGCCTGCTGTTCAATCCATTTCATTAATTTGAATAAATATGTTTTAAATCGAAGAGTGTCGGTTGATTTTTTTCTCGATCTCTTGTTTCTTTTTTATACAATTGGGTATCTGGATTAGTTCGTATCTGAAGACAAAATTTGCAGCTCTCCAAGTGGTGGCTTTGCCGCAGGTGGTGGCGTCTCCATACGAAAGAAAATTCTCGATAGGGACGTGAAACTATATACAAACAAATAAAACGAATTTGCAGACTGAGGGTTTTCGATTTTGTTTTTTTTCAAAAACAGAGGTATTTTTTTTTATTTCATGGTGATGAGAGGCGTTAGTATACCTTCTTTGATTTCTCTACGAAAGCACAATCAAGGCTTTGCATTGTCATTTACAAGTTGCTTAGAATGTATTCTAGTTTAACTGTCCTTTCTGTGTAGGGTATTAAAAAAGAAACCCTAGATACTGAAATCCCTGTTTGGCTTTTGAACGAATCGGGAGAAAATGTTTCCTTTTCATAGACAAAGAACTTATGATTTCGATTTTTCACAGAAATTAAAATTTGAATTGTGATGTTTAGTTAAGTAATTATAAGTATATCGATGCAGTTTGGTACATGGTATAAAAAAGAGGTAAAAAGGTATCTCTCCTTAAAAGTAAAATTTAATTTGTGTACAGTTATAAAAAATGTAAACTGGTCTATTTCAAGCGTATCTCCATTAAAGAAATATCTTTGGTCTTCGGATCAAAACATATTTTTTACACAAACAAAAATAATCCCTATCGTCATTGACCAGTATCATAGAAACATTATAATCGTATTAATACATCTAACAAAAACGTATGGTTGTTCACAAAGTAATAATCAAGTCCCAGCTCTTGAGTGATAAGGGAAACGTTTTATCTTGGCATGTTTGAAAAGGAGAAGCATTAAGATGAAAAAATATCGCCAGAGATTAACGTACCAGTGTATGGACACTTTGAGGAAGTTAAGAATCAATTTGCAATATCTTATCAGTCAAAGGAAGTTTTTTTTTCCAATCATTTAAAGAGAAAAAGAATTCGTTTATATAAGGGAAATTGCGAAAAGATCGATTGTTGTTATTTGTTCTTTGGAGGAGGAAGTTCTATTAAATTAAATCACAATGTAACATGAAGGTAATCAAAGGTGTAACAGGCACAATGTTACGTACATGTAAGTAAATACTTTATATCTGTAAAATATTCTCTTCATCCCTCAAAATTTTATAGTTACAAAAACATTTAAAATTAAACAGTTATTTTAAATACGATTTGCATGGACAGCTTTAAATAATCATCAAACATTATTGTATGACATAAACTAGTTTTCATAATTAGTCAATCATCAATGAAACGTACAATGACGTTTTTATAAAATTACCATATCATTTACATAATCGCACTTTGAATGACTGTTTGTACATATATGAATTTAAACAATAAAATGCCTTTCTTTATGTGTTCGAGTACGGGAATTAATGCTGCAGCTTTTGCATACTTATTTGTTTCTTCACCAACTGCAACACTACATGTAATTCCCGTACTGACAATAAAACAGTAGCCACATCTTCAACAATTAATACATTTAGTGACTAACATACTTTTCCTTAATTTTTGAACCAAATATAGCACAGATACCTATTCCTAACCACCTGTATGTGTCCTGTGACTTGATTCTTGCCTAACGCATGCGTCAAAATTTAATTCGAATAAGCTTTGCTTAGCGTTTTCACGGAGTTAATGCGAAGTAATTAAATGCGCAGTAAATTAGGCCTAATTCGAAAGAGACTAATGCCTTGTTCACACGTCGAGTTTAATTCGCAGTAAATTAATGCCAAGTAAACTAATGCGAATCAAATTAATGCGTATTAAATTGCGTTCACACGACAGCTAATGCGAAGTAAACTAATTCGAATTAAAATTTTTCTTCTACAGTCAGGCGTCAGTAAGTCTATTATGACGTCATTTGTAAATCACGTCATGTGTGCAGAGCCATCCTTTGATACATCATGTAGTGGCTACAGGTTCATTGATTTTAGTGATTAACATACTTTAACTTTTCTATCGTCAACCCTCAAATATACCTTTTGATATATCCAAATATAGCACAAACGAGGTAAATTATGACAACAAGTTGATGAAACTATATCTAACCATCAACATGTGTCCTGTGACTTAATTCTGGATTACGCATGCGTCAAAATTGAAATCGAATTGGCTTCGCTTAGCGTTCACACGGAGCTAATGCGAAGTAATTTAATGCGCAGTAAACTAATTCGAATTAATCTAATTCGCATTAAATTCTTCGTGTGAACGCTAAGAGAAGCTAATTTGCAGTACACTTAACGTTTAATTCTAATTAAACTCTTCGTGTGAACAGGGCATTAGAGTTAAAGGGTTAATCATCTTGAATAAATAAAGGTTAGGCCATATTAAAAAAAAGGCTTGGTTGCCCTCTCCCGACCGACTGACTAAAATTAGCCTGATTCATTTTTTTTTTCATTCCAGGACATGATATTTTGTTCGTTTCATTCCTCTTATCCCGTCAACAAAAATGTTGAAATTTTATGGATAAAAGATTTACCCACCTACCAACCAATCCAATAATTTCACCCTGAGTTGGGAAGCAATATTTTAAAGATGATTTAAACACTTTAAAAAGTACGAAAAATATTTCTATAGAAGCATCTATTGACTAATACGGTTAAAATTTTTTTAATGAAAAGAAATTGAAATTACAAGAGAGAAAAAAACTTTGATTGCAATGATCATTTCATCTTCAAGGTTGTAATCATTACTCAACAGGTATGAATTGGAAGAATTCGGTGGTGGAAATAATAATCTTGGTGATAATTCTTAGAAGTGGCGTGGATGGTACTACATGTGCCTCTTCCTCGTCATGTCGATGCCATTTTTCCAAAGGAAAAATTTACGCCGACTGTTCCAAGCTGGGTCTTTCAAAGTCACCTCTATCCTGGTCGAATGTCACGAAAATCAATCTCAGTCATAACAATTTGAATCAACTTCCGAACCGATCCAAAATTCCAGATGACTTAAATTACTTGGATCTTTCTAATAATGTCATAATTGAATTTACTAATGAAGCTTTCCAAGGACTACATAGGCTAACTGATCTGAAATTGCAATCAAATCGCTTTAGGATTACAAGTAACCTTTTCAAAAACATTTTTGTAGATTAAATCAGTATAAGATACATAGATTTGTCGGACAACCCTGAACTTACGTTTCGGGTAATGCCCTATTTGAGCAGCCTTCAAAACTCTTCTATTGAAGTTCTCCGTTTGAATAAAATCCATTGTACGTTTGGATTAGGTTTAGAAGTAAAAATAGAGGATTTAAGATTTCTTCAATACACCAATTTAAAGGAAATTGATATTTCAAGTAATAGAATAGAACTTTTTGAAAATAGAGCACTCTCATTTTTACCTGATAGTCTAAAAAGAGTATCAATTGCTGATAACAACCTGTCATTTGGTTTTGATGTCTTTGATATTTCCTCAATGAAAGGATTAGAATGGTTGGAAGCAAGCTCACAAGGTATAACCCATAGCCCTTATGATTTTATTTATCACAGACCATGTCATGATACATTGGTTAAGAAAAAAGATTCACTTTCTATAACAAAATATAATCTTTCTCGAACTTTCGATCTTGGGAATAAACCAAGATTGAAAAGAAATGTAAAACAAGAAATGAAGGTAAAAATAGATGACATTTTTCAGAGAAAAAAATTAAGCATCGTTTTTAACATCTCACTACCAGAGAATTTAAAATCAATTTTCTTCAATCAAAGCGGGTTACATTATATAATAAAAAAGCTTTAATTTCTCTAGGAATAAAGTAGAAAATTTGTATTTACAAGACAACATTTTATATTCCTGGATGGGCCCAATCAGCGGAGTTAACAATCTAAAAATTGTTAATTTGTCAAATAATTTCTCTACAAAAGTCTATGAAAGTTTCTTCCAAAACGGTGATTCTCTCCAGAAATTATATTTGAGCAATAACTTGCTAGGTTTTAGTCTTTCGTCTGATACAGATGGAAAAATATTCAGAAATCTCAAAAGTTTGAGTGTTTTAGATTTAAAAGCAAACAAAATTTCACACTTACCAAGCGCTGTGTTCAAAAGTATTGAAAGTCTTAAATATTTAGATCTCAGTAGCAATTTGTTAACTGGAATTGATTTTGATATTAGATATTTAAGGTCACTAAGGTTTCTTGATTTATCTTTGAATCAAATTCAATATCTCTCCGATTCAAATATGAAAGCTATAAATCAACATAGTATAGGGAAAAGTTTAACAATTAACCTTTCTGGAAATCCTATTCTGTGTGCCTGCAAAAGTCTGAATTTTCTAACATGGATAGTTCATGGCCAAACATCAGGGGAGATAATATTTGAATCATACGAACAATACTTTTGCGAGAAGGAGTCTCATGACGGACAAGTTATGAATTTCACTAACTATAAAGTAATTGGAGAGCTGAGGAAAAAATGCAATACCTACACAGCTTTGATATTTATGATGTCCACGCTTATATTTCTATTTGCTATATCATTGACAGTTGGGATCTTTTACCGATATAGATGGAAACTAAGATACTTCTTTTACATGACGAAAAGTCGATATCATGGATATAAAGCTGTTAGAAGTGAAAGCCAATCAGATTTTAAATACGATGCCTTTGTATCCTATGCCGATGAGGATTTGCCGTTTGTTCAGAAAATGATTTTGGAATTAGAAAAAAATAATGAAATACGTTTATGTATTCACCATCGAGATTTTGTCCCAGGGTATGACATTGCTGAGAACATAATCACCGCTGTCAACAAAAGCAGGAAAACAATAATTATTTTATCTCCAAACTTCATCAACTCCAGCTGGTGTATGTATGAAATGCACATCGCTAAAATGGAAGAGATATATTCCCGCGATGACCAGAGTGTTCTGGTGATTATCTTTTATAAACCTATTCCTGCTGGCAAAATTCCATTACAAATTATGAATGTTATAAAAGAGAAATCATATATTGAATTCCCAGACGACGAATACTGTGACGCAATGTTTTGGAGAAAAGTTATCGAAACCGTTAAGAATGTATAATCTGTAGAATGTATAGTGCATAGTGTATTTCAAATAATTTTTGTCAAATTATAACGGTTTGTGTAACAACATTTATTTCAAATTTATTTGAAAAGTCTTTGCTGGATAATTCCAATGAGAATTTCATGAATATGCAAAAGCATCTTAATTACTAGCTGTGAAAAATAATTGAAATTTAGCAGCATACATGTAGTTACAAGAATTTAAAACGCCCAATTTAATATTGTATTTGTATTATGATTTATAAAAATGGATGTCTGTGTATTTGACATCTGATTAAAATATTTATGAATTATAATTTTTTTTATTTCTACTTAAGGGGCAGCGACCCTCTGATAAGAGAGATAACTTTCAAAGTACAAACTATGAATACTACTCCCAGTTTTCTTAATTAGGGTTTCCTAATTGAGACCTCTGAGTAGTCAATTCGATGAAATCTTGCTTATGATGGGAACAATACTTTCTATTTCTTTTGCCAATTTCTTAGTAATTGTTTTATTATATTTAACAATAAAACATTTAAACCCAACATCAAAAGCCTTATAAATTGAATTTATTAAGTTGTATCTTTTTAAGGACCATTTTAAAATGGTTTAATGTTTCAAGTATTTTATTTTCACATGAAGAAATATTTAGAAGAAAGTTAACTCCTCCTCACTGATGTATTTTTTTCCCACAACCACATACAACATTGTGATTTTTTGACTTAGGAAGCATCGCTTCATAGTGTTTTCTAACATGATTTTAATAGGTATGATACTAAGTATTATTTTAATATGCACCTCGTATATTAAATTTAATGTTGTGATAATATATCGTTAATCTTTCTGTTCTCTGTATTCGATTTCTTCATATCATAATCTGACATAAATATTATTTCTGAGAAAATAAGCAGCACTTCATACTTCAAACTATTTTCCATATCGCTCTAATGTTATTGCTGTTTATGAAAATCAATATTACAAATTTTAAATTTTCTAATGTGAAATTTATAGCAGAGGGTCGGGACCCCTTAATAACGAAAAATGAATCCTCGGCTTACAAAATAATACCCACAGCATATAACAATAGAACCCCAGCATATAAAAAGAGATCCACAGAATTTAAAACGTTTTCATATAATTGTAAAATCAAAGCAGCAAATATGAACCCACAGTACAGTAGCAAAAAAATTATTATGAACCTAAGAATACAATTACAAGAGGCCCACGGGCCTTATAGGTCACCTGAGTATTCTGTAACAACTTTCAAACAATTAAATTTGGTTCGTGTTTAAACCGGAGGCCATGAAATTCACAATTTACAATTTTGAAAGAGGCACCATTGCTTATCATAATAATTAACTTAGCATGCTTACTCTATTTACTTAATACCCAGAGGTAGATCAGAGTAATTATTTTCAAGAGAAAATTTGCTACACCTTTCTTCATCATAAATATATATATACTTGGATCATTGGCTTAAAACCAGAAACAAAGAAAAATAGTTTCAAAGAATAAATGTATTTTTACTATATAAGCAATAGAGCCCCGCCATAACACCAGAACCCCTGACCCAGGGCCATATATTTCAAAATTTTGCAAGATTTTATCATCATAACTATGTACTTAGTTAGTGTATTTAATACCCAGGAGCAGAGAAGAAGATTTTCAAAGAAATAATGCATTTTCACTATATAATATATACCACCCCGCCCTAACACCACAACCCCTGACCCCGGGGCCATAAAATTCACAAATGCTAGATGAACCTTTCTCATCATAAATATATAATTATATATTTTATCTAATACCCAGGACCAGAGAAGAAGATTTTCAAAGAAATAATGCATTTTCACAATATAATCTATAGAGCCCCACCCTATCACCACAACCCCTGACCCTGGGGACATAAAATTCAAAATTTTGGAAGAGGCACTCTAGCTCATCATAACTATGTGCTTAGTTAGTGTATTTAATACCCAGGAGCAGAAAAGAAAATTTTCAAAGAAATAATACATTTTCACTATATAATCTATAGAGCCCCACCCTATCACCAGAACCCCTGACCCTGGGGACATAAAATTCACAATTTTGGAAGAGGCACTCTTGCTCATCAAAACTATGTGCTTAGCTAGTGTATTTAATACCCAGGAGCAGAGAAGAAGATTTTCAAAGAAATAATGCATTTTCACTATATAATATATAGAGCCCCGCCCTAACACCACAACCCCTGACCCCGGGGCCATAAAATTCACAAATCTGGAAGAAGCACTCTTGCTCATCATAACTATGTGCTTAGTTAGTTTATCTAATACCCAGGACCAGAGAAGAAGATTTTCAAAGAAATAATGCATTTTCACTATCTAATCTATAGAGCCCCGCCCTAACACTAGAACCCCTGACCCTGGGGCCATGAATTTCACAATTTTGGTAAAGGTCTCAATGCTCATTACATTCATGCCAACAGTTTGCCTGCTTGATGTCCAGGAGTAAAGTAGAAGATTTTTAAAGATTTCATTAATTTTAGTGGTTTTGGCCCCACCCCTCAGGCCCCAGGAGGACGGGGACCATGAGATTCACAATTTTTGTTCCCCTCTACCCATAGATGCTGTATGCCAAGTTTGGTTGAAATTGGTTCAGTGGTTTCAGAGAAGAAGCTGAAAATGTTCAAATGTTAACACACGACACACGACGCACAACGCACGACGGACGACGGACGACGACGGACGAAAACGGATAGCAATAGGTCACCTGAGTTACTCAGATGACCTAATAAATTCAATCGTACAATGATCATCAACATTTCGGAGCGTAACAAAGATTTGATTTAAATCAGATTGGACGATTTTTCAACCAGACAGACAGACAGACAGAAAGACATTCTTTATTTCCTCTATAGCATAGAGATTGGTCATATTATATTACGAAACATTTAGCAACAACTGTGCATTAATTAATAATATATGTACATGTGCATTGAACGAAATAGTTCATGAGCTTTTTTTTTTTTTTTTTACATTGAAACTCGATAAAGATTTTATCTTTAACTATAAAAGAGTTTCATGTCCTTCAACATTACTGTAATGCCGGAAGATACCGACAATATAAAAGTGGTCCATTCCTCTTCTAGGATGGTTCCATCCTTTCTGGACCTTAAAAGGATATTTACCAGAGTAGTTTCGGGCAAGTGTGTGAGATCAACATATGTATTCACTTGTAGACAATTAACGATCAGGGTCATGAGATGTTCGCGACTTTTGTACAGATTCGGACAGTCTAAGATGAAGTGTAATACGATATCCTGTGTACTTCTTTTGCATAATTTGCATACTACTTCTTCCGTCTCATAAGTAATTGAGAGATTTACGAGTTCGAATAGTCTCCAGGTAAACTCCGGGTGTTCGAGGCTGAGTGTCCAAAGTGCGTGAGGAGTAAGTTCTTGATGTATTTCTGCAAAACGAATTAGTTCTGGTCGGTATCCAAGTGTAATCCTCCATTCGTTATAAGAAGAATGATTTATGAGATTGTTGATGTACTGA